AAACAACATCAAATGAACCAAGAAGGATCAGGTTAGGGTTAGTCGTAAATTAGGGTTAGTCCAAATTCAATAAGGATTATTGTGATAATAGATTACATAGAAATCATGTACTTTTCCTGTCCTTTAAATTAATTAAGTCCATAACAAAAGAATAACTTGATTTGTAGCACTGTGCTTTTCAGACAGAGCAATAAAACTGGAATTGCATCAGCTGGATACCAGATAACCATTTATGTTCAATCATATTCATATGTTTGTACCATTCGACGTTTCCATCAGATCGACTCTACCAAAAATGTAAATTCTCAATATCTGCAAATACTTATGTGCTTACAATCACAAACACATAACCTTACAAACTCTGCTGAGTGCAATGATGAAAATGTATGAAAAGGGGTGTGGCTTAAGTATAAAGAAGTTATATGACCTTTTTTTGTTATTGGCCACGCACTGCCACACCAGCTTTTTGCCTATACTCGCATCAAAAGCTGATGACGTTAATGCTAAATTATAGACTCCTGGGGCGAGAACCCTGGCCAGCAAATGGCAAGGAACTTTTTCATAGAGCCACTGGTCTTAAATAAAAAACTTTGAGCCATCAGCGTCCCCTGCCGCCCCAACTAAAACACGTTTTTCTCCTGTTGTTCCAAAGGATCAGTGGTGAATTACACCAAACTCTCACGATAGTGTTGGCAGTCCTCCAGCCTGTCAAAGGGTAATCATTAGATCAAGAAGACGATCCATGGTAAAATAAAAAAATATGTCTCCCACGCAGTGGATCAGCTCTGTGTATGTGTGGTGTTGATGTTCCGGTCTGATATTATTTGTGAAGAAAGAATAATTGGTAGATGTAAAGAGACACATAACATTTGGTTTGTTGTTTAAAGATTTAAACTTGACTAATAGGGTCTCCCAAACAATCATTTGGTTTTGTTAAATTCCTTGATAAGGGTTGTGAAGTTTAGCCAGATTCCCCATGGCAAACATCAAATTACTGTTGTCTGGAAATGTAATAAAGATCAAAAACTGGTTCCCACACAGCCTATTGCTAAACGGTGCTTACATCTCTGATGTTTTGTATGTTAAGACAAGATTTATGAGTAATTAGTAGATAAACAAATGAGAACTTGTCAGAGCAATGACTGTTACCGATAAAAACATGTTCCCGATGACAAACTACGCAAAACTTCACAGAACAAAATAAATCATGAGCTCATTACAACGGTGGTTGAGTAGCTTTCTGGCTTGTGACTCTGTAATATGAATCAGTCAGAAATATAGATTATATTACTTATAATAAGCAATTCAATAACAGATGGAAACATCCATTGAACAAAAAATGAACATTTAAGATAGACTATGAATGAAAACTACTAGCTAGTGAACCTACTTTGTACACTGAGGAAACTGTATGGAATGGACACTTAAGCAAACAGCAATGCATACAAACAAAAATAGTTTATAAAAACTGCACAGGGCTGATTCAACATACAAATTATGAACACTTGCCAATCACATCAGGACTGTTTTGGAACATTTTGTGCAAATCAAGTTAAAATCCTAGTTTCTGAAGATGATCGGCAGATCTGGAGTCAGTGAAAATGTGCTCCGTCATGTTGCCGGGCTACAGATCCAAACAGGACTGACTAATCCGCTCTATGGGAAGTGTGATGCGAGATGGGATTAGTGATGATGCAGATTTTTGGCATGTTAGCTTGGTTTACTGTATAAAAGGTCACAACACCAAGGTAACATCAAAGTCTACAGTAAAACTGTTTCACACTCATGTTTACTTTGTGCTTAAATTGACATTTTGATCCACTATGAACTCATTAGTACGTTCGACTGCAGCCTTTTTCATTCAAGGACAAAGCAAGTTAAAGGTCCCATGTCACGGCCATTTCTACTGATCATAATTCCATTGTTGAGGTCGACTAAAATAGATTTATATTGTGCAATTTTCCAAACTCACATTGGTTTCTCATACAGCATCTCTGTAAAGTATGTGTATTCACTCTCTGTCCTAAACGGCTTGTTGGAGCTCCTCTGCCCCCCCCCTCCCAGTGAGCCCAGTGGCCGTTGGCGAGACAGCGAAACCCAGCCCGAAACACACACACACACACACACCCGCAGCCTGGCTGGGAGTTTGTGTGTGTGCTCAAGCTGAGTTCCGTGGTGTCTCGCTGTCTCGCCGACCCCACACCAGTGAGCCAGCTCACACTGTCCGCTCCTCGCAGCAGCGAGCCTCGCAACGTCCCGCCGAGTGTGTGTGTGCCAGGAAGTCCGTGGATTGGTCCAAACGTAACGGCTCCATTACGTCACTATACCCAAGAAGAAAACAATGGAAAAAGATAAATGTCCAACGAGGCGTTCTGGGGCAGCATAGACGGGTATTTTCTGTGTTAGAGTTTTACTCGCTACAGGGTGTACTTTGAGGGTGTGTGACTCTGCAGACCGTTTACAAGCATAAAAACCTTCATAACACACAAGGGGACGGGTAATAACCAGAAAAGCATGACATGGGACCTTTAAACTAATTGTTATGAAAAATGCTTTTTATTTTATTTATGGGGTTTGATGTCATTATTAGCATTCTTTTTTCTTTTTTTTTGAACCTCTTGAAAACCCAATATAAGGTTGTCCTCAAATGCACCGTGCGTGTTCATTTAGGGTTCTTGCAATTCAAGTTTTACATCTCAGCACATCATCCTCACATAAATATCAGTAGCATATTTGCACATCATGTTCTTCTTTGAGTGTGTCCCAGATATAAAACGTTCACCTTCTGGTAGACGTGTGTGATGATGTGATGAGTTGTGTCTCGTCTGTGTCTAGTGAGTCAGGTCAGTCAGACGTTCAAATGCTGTAACTACATGAATATCACCACAGCCTGTGCCATCACTACTTTGTTCTGGGACACAGATACACACACATGTCTCCTAATGCGAGACATTCCCATCACACACACACACACACACACCGCCAGCCCAGCCTCTGTTTTAACAGCATGAATAATCTGGCATGGTATCACACAAGTACATTTAATCAAGGTATCAATTTAAGTACAATTACAAAACAGTTGTAAATAATGAATCCATATTGTACAATTGTTGTGAGTAAAAAACAAATTGCAATAATCCATCCATAATCCAGTTACTATGCGACTCTATCCTGTGCAGGTCAATGGGAATTGGAACTGTCCTTTGATTTCAGATAGAAGTACCCAAAAGCATCTTCAAATGTTGTCAGAAAACATCTATTTTGCAAACAGCATGGTGTTCAGATCGTGTACAAACTAAACTCCATCAATGCATGTTCAAACTGCCTTTACTGCATAAACACTGTCAATAATTAAATCAGTGCAGCTTTCACTAGAGACTAGAGAAATACAAAGTCTGTGCAGTTTCGCTTAGATTTGTACAATTCCATCAAGTAAGAAACCAGAGATACAAGAAGGTAAACAAAACGCTGATGTTAAAGGCCTTCCATCTTCCACATTGTCCCGTCCTTTAAGACACATTTTACACAGGTGTGTGCGTGGTGGTGTTGTGACAAAGTGTTGGTGACATATACACATTATCTATTTATATTCGAAAAAAATATTTTGCCATGGTTATTCAAATGGTCCAAAGCTGAAGATACTCAAAAGTCATGCTTACCAGGGCTATTGTACATGTTATCAAGTTCATCAAAGGAACAGAAAACCCCTCATCACTTCATATGAATGTTAGTATCCATCATATCTGCCTAACTTCAAATAAAAGTAAATATTTCCTGAGTCGAATAAATTAATAGTCTACGCAAATGTTTGCAAACCCCTAGAACAGGGGTGTCAAACTCAAGGCCTGGGGGCCAAATCCGGCCCGCGACTTCATTTTATGTGGCCCCATGAGTTTGACACCCCTGTTCTAGGGGTTTGCAAACATTTGCGTAGACTATTNTGTTCGCGAGAAGCGCTACAAATCCCTTTTGTTCTTCCAACATACAGGGTGCACCCTCGCTCGCACAGACAATAAGTTTGATCCTCGGTTTTTTTTTTTCTTTAGCAGACTCCTAAAAGACGGGAATAAATCCTCTCCTCTTGGTTGTCCCTTTCACTTGGCAAACAGCCAACGCTTCTCTCACGCCCAGTGTGTCACTGCGCATACCTGGCATTATACTGCGCACGAGACTACCGATGGCCTAACGTCTGGCTTGACCATCTTAACAGCAGAGAAACAGTATGTCCCGGCGCTTCTACTCCTCTCTAATCTTGTGTTTTCCCCTCGCGCTTCGTTTGCCATCATCGCTGCTACGACCTCGTCGCAGTTCCTTCTGCTGACAGCGGCCCTGTCTCTTTCTTCGTCTCGCACCTTACTCCTTCGCTCTTTATCTCTCGCCACGCTCTCACACAGCTCTCACCTCTGCGCACATCAGCATGAATGCTTTTGGCATACTCGCCTCAGTTCAACTGCAAATGTGTCTCGGGAGCATATGCCGTCACCGGAAGAGCCTATATGGCTCGCGAGGCATAGGTTCCCGACGTGAACTTTAGCCCATCACAACGTTCGCCTGGGATTGGTCCGTGATCGGAACCGGGCTGCTCGTGATGGCTACCTGGCGGCATCCAAGTCGCTACGGCAACAGCTGCGGGGCGCAGCGGCACACCTCCCTTTCTGCCTTCAGTGCCTCTCTCCGGGCCTAGAGTCTTCCACGCCGTTTTCCGGGAAGAAATAGTCAAAGCCGTCGGTGCAGCAGTAGGCAAGACGGAAGACTTTTAACCGAAAAACCGTTTGCACGACCACATATGGTACCATTCCTCCCATCTGCAGTTCCTTGCAAGGATGCTCATCCGAGGTCCGTATGCCCCAGCGCAACCGCAGCTTTGCACTCACTCGCGCCAGGAACCACGTGGCAGATAATCCTTGCCAACCTCCCCCCCCCACCCCAAGTACGCCAACACAGTTAGCAGCGGCCCGTATCTACTCACTCAGACTCACTTGAGGCTTCTTTTTTTTTTTTCATTCACGGATGCTGCCACCGTGGTTTCCTGGGCGGGCTTTCTTCATGGAGAAAGAGAAGTTCATGTAAAGAAAATTTTGGAAAAAAAAAAAAAATAGAAGACAGTCTAATCACCCAACCAAGCACATCAGCATCTATGTCTCACGTGGCGTACAATTAAACTGCTAATTAAGCTAGTCTATATCATGTGTCATGTTTCAGTATTTAACCTAAGCAAACATTATTTGCATGCTGCTCCATCATTGCACTTCATATATTTGGGTTTCAAGCTCATAATGGCTTATGTTAAAGCAGGGTATGATATTCGTGCATCAATCCCTGTACTCATGCTAACAGCTGCATTACATTGTCTACATCTCCCTCTTCGCCCGGACATCGGCTCGTGCCGGCAATCCAAGATCTCTCCAGTTTACCTATGGTAAACATGCATATAACTGGTGGTGGTGTCTTAATAGCATTTCAGGGCTTTGTTCAGGGTAGGTGCAGCAACCCTGCCGCCAATCAAGGTATTTCTTCCTCATCCCTACAACAACTTGGACGGTGGTCCTCCTCTGCCTTCACATCCTACATTCACCCGGACATCAGCGCCGTGCGGCCATCCAAAAATCTCTAAACTGTTATTTATGCATTTTAGCGGTAGTGTTCACCTGTGTTAATGTTTAACCCTGCATCGCAGGTCATCGACCATCGTGTCGGCAACGTTTAGTGGTAGTGTTCACGTAAGCCCGGCACTGATTCCGGCTGTCGGCTCTCGGGTCAAGCATCCTATGATGTACAGTAAGCCCGGCAGCGATTCCGGCCGTTTAGTGGTAGTGTTCTCGTAAATCCGGCGCTGATTCCGGCCGTCGACCTTCGAGTCAGCATCTTATGATGTACAGTAAGCCCGGCAGTGATTCCGGCCGATTGTTTAATCCACATGTTAATCTCTCATTTCATCCATAGATCACCGCAGTCAGCCCACAAGGTAAGAAACTCATTACATCTTAGTATGTCATACTTCACTTCTTTGGGGGTTTCTTCGGAGCGGTTCTTCCCCTCCTGAATGATAATCCTGCAAACCGGGGCCTAATCGCCAAACACCATTCCATTCTTCTGTCTCAATTCTGGCAATCATTAATTCATTCATATTACGTGTCCCAGTAATAAATATGTATTTCATACATCAACGTCTCTCCTGATTGAACTACTGTAGTGTTTACATAACACCCTTTAGACCTTGACATATTTAGACCCTCAAATACAGCATACCCCTGAACTCTTTTTGCATGTATGAAGCATTTTCCTTACAAGAAACCCGTCATCATATCATGTTACAAATGATATTGTTGTATTTGATTGTTTTCTAACTAAAAATTGTTGTACTTAACCAGCTTGGGTTTCATGGCCAATATAAACAGGTGCCTCCATTTCTTATTCCAAAAGATTGTCATCAATATTCTGGGTGATTAGTGCTTCACCCTACTTTCAGTGACATCTTTGGCAAACAAGAAAACCTGTTGAACACCATCTGATATGAGCAGATTGTTCATCTGCAGCTCGGGTTTCCTGACTGTCCCCTTCCAGATACAGCTGGACTCCAGCTCTGCTCTATTTTTGCCAGGCTGACACACACCTGCTTCTGGTTTTCACACACATGCTGCATCAGTGATGATCACTGGCAGGTCGGTCTGCTCATCCTCCCAAGGAAACGTCCACAACAGAGAGAGGCTGGATCCACTCATGAGTAAAAATGAAGGCTTTTATTTCAAAGCCTAATCCTTTTTTCAGGAATTCGTCAGTCGAAACTTCAAAGATGCAGATGACCAAATGCTCCAAAAATGTTACTGTTTGGTGGGCAAAAAGGAAAACCCTCGTGAGTTTAATGTTTTAAAAATTAATGTGAATCTCATGTTGGCGGTTTGGAAAGTTAGAGTGGAACTAAGCAGTTCTCCATGCACACTGAAAGTCTCTATAAAACATAAAACACCTGTTAGATTGTCCAAATCCTGTCTCGTCCCATGCAAGAATGTTAGATCCCTTTTAGGAAAATTCTCCCTTTTTTTAAAAATCCAAATAGTCGGGGCATTCTGAACAGGAACGTTTCTCTGTGCTGTAAGTGATATTCAATCTAACCAGTAGTGGGGAAAAACAAGTAAAGATGGTCCATGCATCTCTAAATGGTGTATCCTCTTGGGAGCAAGAATGTCCAATCCGTCTATCTGCAAGGGCTATCCGTCTATTATATTTTATTTCTATTGTATAGAATATTTATCCAATAGAATTAAAATGAGAGTAAAAGGGACATTTAAAGGTTTCCTGAGGTCATAGGTTAAGCTAACAAATGCACCATTGTGAGCTGTGAGAGCCCAGGGACTACTGCTCTTCTAGTACAACTGCTACTGCTTTAGAGGAGTTGAACAAAGCCTTTTTATTCAGAAAGCAACAGGGACATCCCCTGAAGCTAATAGTTGTAATGAATTGGTTCTTATTTTTCTTGAAGCTAAGGTTCAATACTTGGATGCTCTATTGATTTGAAAGAGAATGCATAAGTCTTTAATCTTGTTTCTGTGATTTATCGTGGTGGTAATAGAGGAAATATTTACCAACTGCTGAGGCTTTTTTGGCCAGATGATTTCAAGATGATCTGTTAGCTAACATCATTCATTGGACCATGCTGTTTGTTTAAAATTAAGGGTGGTTTTCACTATAAGTAATGTTTATTTTTTGGACGGAAACTATAATTTACATTTTTTTACCATTTTCAATCTAAATTTACTTTAAAATAAAAACATCTATATTGATTCTGACTGTTCTACATCCAACTCACAGGTTTATTATTGCTTTGAGAAAAAAGATTAATTTACCCCTTTTAGAAGTGAAGATATAGTCATTTGTTCTGGGCATGTCATTTTCGAGCCTGAGACCTGAAAATCAGGCTCAGGGCTTAACAGGTTAAATAGACGTTTAATTCTTAATATAAATAGATTTTGGCTTGGATTTGGGTTGGCCATACATCAGATTCAGACGGCTCTGATCTCAGTGACACACAGACTTAAACTCAAAGTTTTATTGTTGCATGTTTGAATCCCGTCAAACAGGAAATAACTACCAGATCCATGTGGTGAGGAGTGAAAACATTACAAGCAGTGATGGCCGCATACCTCTTCTGATGCTGGGTGCTGTAACAGCTGGAGGCCTAGCGTTAGCATCAAGTGTCATCATCTGTCTTTCCTTTTACATCACATAATGTGTCAAACTTTGATCTCAACAGTTCTCTTAGCAGATCCAATTACATTCCCCCTGTGTTCTTACAGCGATGAGCTTTGACAGCTGATTTGAGCAGGTTTAGGGGTTGCAGTCCTTTTAGTCAGCAATGCATGCATATCAAAAGAGACTTTAAATTGGTATAGATGAGTTAAGGTGTCTTTGTTACTGGGCAGTTTAATAAAAAACAAAGCATTTGAAACAACAAGAGTTTGGTGCAAGCTTACCTTGATATAGTTTATTCTAGGGCAGGGGGGTCAAACTCAATTTCATCACGGGCCACATCAGCATTACGGTTGCACTCAAAGGGCCAGTTGTAACTTTAAGACTATATAAAAATACATATACAAATATTTAATATATATAAAATAATGTATTATATTACAATATTGCCTCTGCATTGGATTATTATGGGATAGGGTAATAACTTCATCATTAACTACATCTGAAAGCAGAAGTCTAGGGCAAATAATTGCAAGTCTCT